ATGCAAGAAATCAGTTCGGACGTCTGGAAGTTTGTAGGTGTGTGCAAAGTGTGCTTCTTCTATCTCTGTTGTGAGCCGTGGGCCTCGTTGTCGCCGCGGCTGGACGCGGCTAGAGATTTCGGTTGGGATGGAATCCAGGAGGGCTTCGGGCGCCGCTTCCGAGCGGGCGGCGGCAACGGCAGGGGAGGAATCCCAAAGATGGGGTTCCCAGGCGTGGCGTTACCTTCGAGATGTTTTTCGGCGACGTCGTTTGAAAACGAGTGCGCCCCCACACGTTACACCCGCCTTGCGCGGAGGAGCGAGCATTCGATCATTCCCTCCGGCGCACTGTCTGCTCCTGTTTTGGATCTGCCGCTGGAGGGGCACGGAGGGCTCACACGAGGTGGCGTGTCTCCTGCAGGCTATTGGCGGGAGTCTCGGCGGCGCACATAATTGAGTAGCGCGAGGTGTTGGCCTGTTACGCAGGCGCGGGGGCTTCTAGAAAGGCAGCTGGCTTCCGAGAAGCCTCAGAAGCCTTCATAGCCCTGGGCTCTTCGAAGGAGGCCCTTGCCTTCTGAGATGCCCCTCGCCTTCTCAGAATGCCGCGCCCCTCGCGCGACCTCGTCGTGAACGCCGCCCAGAGTTGGCGCTGCCATGAACTACAGAGCTCCAAGAGTTGCCCGAGAGGCTTCCTGAAGGGCCCCGAGAGGGCGCCGAGAGGTTTCCATCGGCCCTTAACTTCGAAGGAGTCGACGCGGAGATCCCCAGATGTGCATCTCAGTTCCTGGCAATCCCGTCTGTGAGTATTGAGTGTCTGAGTGAGAGAATCCTATCTTGGGGCGGCTGAGCGTTTTCCAGTGTCCCCCCTCCTCGAGGAGTGCACACATTCTATGCCTGCTAGATCGGTATGATCTTGGGATTCTGAAGAGAAAGGGACCAGGGGTGCTTGAGCCAGTATTTCGCCTGAGAGGCGCCTCCCGATCTGGGCGCCATCTTGCAAGTGTAACGCCCCTTATGCCACGTATGTTATGTGACGAAGCCGCGCCGTCTTCAGCCATCAGCGAAAGTAAATCACGATCAGATCAGCGAGAAAACGAACGCCATGGAGCCTACGGCCTTTCTGCAGCCCAGCGAACCCACTAACAAGATCGCCGAGACTGCGCCGATTTGATCAAATATCAGACATTCCCTGTCACGACAAGTGTTAGCCTGGCCTGGTGACTGAATGTGAACGCTTGCGCGCTGAAAACCTTGAGCGCCTGCCATGTCGTTGTGAGCATGGGCCTCTCAATAGATTGGGCTCTGGGAGACAACAAACAGGCACATCGTCTGAAACATCCACGCAATCTTTGGGGTGATCGGGCAAGTGTCACGACCCTTGGAGGCTTCCCTTGCAATGGTCCCGGTAGGTCCACTGCCCTACTCGTGTATATGATGTTGTACTCCTCTGTGACGGATATATGTTTCTCTGTCCTGATGTGATGCCGATCGATGTCGGTGGGGCTGGGGCAGCGGGAGTGCGATGCCGATCGCTCGAATGCTATTTAAAAGCGGGCCAGTTCGCTGCCCTGTGTCTCTTGAACGCACACCAGAAGTCCTGCGCCGTTGTGGCGCATCCAAGGCTTGAGCCAGACCTGTTGAGGGCGGACCCGTTCTGTTCATCTAACATAGTTGTATCGTGATACGGATGTTTGTGTCTTAGCACGGAGGGCCGACTAAGAAAGGCGTAGCCGAAACACGCGGAAATAAGGGACCCGATACGCCAGGGAACGCAGGTATTGCAGACTTGGCTCCTCCAGACCCCTGGGCACCGTGAGGCTTGGCACGGCCTCTAGAGGCCACTGTCGTATGTTATCTCTAGAAGGGGCGGCTCTGGGCTGTGAGTTGAATGCCCAAACGTTCTCATGCACAGGGTGTCTAGAGTTCCGACGACTTTATCCTCTTGCACAGGGTGTCTAGAGCTCGGACTACTTTATTTCGGCACGGCACGCCCCTCATCGCCTACACATTCCACCAGCCAGCGCGACCCTCCATCCCCCCCCCCCCCCCGCATCCAGCCACCCACCAGCGCCGACCAACCAGTGCGCCCCTCCGCCCCGACCCCTTTACTTCGGCACGGCACGCCCCTCCGCCCCGACCCCCACCAGCACCCACCAGCCAGTGCGCCCCTCCGCTCCGACCCTTGTATTTCGGCACGGCACACCCCTCCGCCCCGACCCCTGTATTTCGGCACGGCACACCCCGTCCGCCGCCCCCCCCCTCCCCCCCCGACACCCCCACCCGCCAGCCAGCGCGCCACTCCGCCCCGACCCTTTTATTTCGGCACGGCACACCCCTCCGCCCCGACCTCTTTATTTCGGCACAGCACACTCCTACCCCCCCCTCCCCCCCCCCCCTCCCCCCACCCCCACCCACCCCGCCCCCCGCATCCCCACCCACCCACGCCCCACCCCGCCCCACCCCCCCACCCCCCCCGCCCACCCACCCACCAGCCAGTGGCACCCCTGCCGCATTATTCGGCACGGCACACCCCTCCGCCCCGACCCCTTCATTTCGGCACGGCGCAACCCCCAGCCCCCACCCGCCCACCAGCCTGCGCCCCCCTTTCTGCCCCGACCCTTCATTTCGGCACGGCACACCCCTCCGCCCCGACTCCTTTATTCCGGCACGGCACACCCCCTACGCAACACATCGCCCCCTCCCCCCCCCCACGCACACACGCGCACGCGCGCACGCGCACGCACACACACACACACACACACACACACACACACACACACACCACACACACACACACACACACACACACACACACACACACACCACACACACACACACCCACACGCACACACACGCCCCTCCCCCCCCCACCACCACCCCCCCCCCTCCCCGCCCACCCACCCACCCACCCGCACCCACACCCACACCCCACCCACACCCACCCACACCACACCCACGCACCCACGCACCACGCACCCACGCACCCACGCACCCACGCACGCACGCACGCACGCACGCACGCACGCACTCACGCACGCACGCACGCACGCACGCACCACGCACGCACGCACGCACGCACGCACACACACACACACAACACACACACACACACAACACACACACACACACACACACACACACACACACGCGCGCGCGCGCACGCACGCACGCACGCACGCACGCACGCACGCACGCACGCACGCACGCACGCACGCACGCACGCACACACACACACACACACACACTCACACTCACACTCACACTCACACTCACACCCACACACCCACACACTCACACACTCACACACTCACACACTCTCACACTCTCACACTCACACACACAACACACAACACACACACACACACCTACACACACACACCTACACACACACCTACACACACACCAACACACACACACCAACACACACACCAACACACACCAACACACACCACACACACACACACACCACCTACCAGCCAGCGCGCCCCTCCGCCCCGACCTTTTAGTTTCGGCACGGCACACCCCTCCGCCCCGATCCATTTATTTCGGCACGGCCCCCCCCCCCCCCCCCACCACGCCATCCCCACCCACTAGCCAGCGCGCCCCTTCACCCCGACGCCTTTATTTCGGCGCGGCGCACCCTCCGCCCGATTTCCTTATTTCGGCACGACACACCCCTCCGCCCCGACCCCTTTATTCCGGCACGGCGCGCCCCCCCCCCCCCCCCCCCACCCACAAGCCAGCGCGCCCCTCCTCTCTGCCCGACCCCTTTCTTTCGGCACGGGCGCACCCCTCCGCCCCGACCGCTTTTATTTCGGCACGGCAAGCCCCTACGCCCCCCCCCCCCCACGCCCCACCCACAGGCCAGCGCGCCCCTCCGCCCCGACCCGTCTTATTTCGGCACGGCGCACCCCTCCGCCCGGACTCCTTCATTTCGGCACGGCACACCCCCTACGCACCCCCCCCGCCCCGCCCACCAGCCAGCGCGCCTCCCCGCCCCGACCCTTTTTGATTTAGGCAAGGCGCACCTCTCCGCCCCGACACCTTTATTCTCTTGCACAGGGTGTCTCTCGGGCCATTTTATTTCGCGTCGCACCCCCCCCTCCCCCGCGCCCTCAGCGCCAGAGTTGGGCGCCCCAGCGGGGGGCCCGCCCGCTGCCCCCTCCGCCACGAACGCTTTATCCCGCGTCGCCCCCCCCGCCCCCCCGCGCCCCCAGCGCCAGTGCGGGGCCCTCGCGCCGTGGCTCTCTGCCCCGAGCCCACCGCGCCCCCAGCGCCCCAGCGGGGGCGCCGCGCACTGCCCCCTTCCGCAACGAACGCTTTATCCCGCGTCGCACCTCCCCCCCCCCCGCGCGCCCCCAGCGCCAGCGCGGGGCACCCGCGCCATGGCTCTCTGCCCCAAGCCCCCCCGAGCCCCCAGCGCCCCAGCGGGGCCTCCGCCCGCTGCCCCCTTCCGACGCGAACGCTTTATTACGCGTCGCCCCCCGCCCCCCCCCTCCGCGCCCTCCCGCGCCGTTGCCCCGGGCCCGCCCGCGTCCCCAGCGCCCCAGCGGGGGCCCCGCCCACTGCCCTTTCCGCCACTAACGTTTCATTCCTCGTCGCGCCGCGCACCACCTCCCCCGCCCCCCTCCCCGCGCCCCCAGCGCCCTAGCGGGGGCTCCGCCCCCGATTGTTTTATTCCGCGTCGCGACGCACGCCACCTCCCCCCCTCCCCCCCTTTTCCCCAGCGCCCCAGTTGGACCCCCGCCCCGTGGCCCTCTGCCCCGAGCCCCGCCCAGTGCCCCTTCCGCCCCGACTATTTATTCCGCGTCGCGGCACCCCCCCCTCCTCCGCGCCCCCAGCGCCCCAGTGGGACCTCCGCCCCGTGCTCCCTCCGCTCCGAGCGCTTTATTCCGCGGCGCGACGCACGCCGCCTCCCCCCCCCTCCCCGCTTGGGACTTGGGCTCCGTTGCTGGGCCCCGAGGGCGATGCCTTGCCCCCCTCCTCCTCCTCCTCCTCCTCCTCCTCCTCCTCCTCCTCCTCCTCCTCCCCCTCCTCCTCCTCCTCCTCCTCCTCCTCCTCCTCCTCCTCCTCCTCCTCCTCCTCTTCCGTAGCCATTTTGGCTCGAGACTGATGTGTTGGCGGGCGGAGCCAGCATTGGCAAGATTGGATACCGCTAGTCCGCGGCAGCTATCAATCTGTTTTCTATACGACAGCTGGTCCGCCCCAGCTGATCGACTGCCTCCTGCTGCCCCGCAGGTGAGCAGGCCTTCTCGCAAGACGACGACGCGATGGGGTCTCGGGAGCAGACCGCGCGCAAGCGGTACTGCAAGAGTTGCAAGAATGACAGCACGGGCAAGCAGTGGTGGAAAATGGCGCACGCGAAGATGTGCGCGCTGTGCGGGCCGGCAAAAGGAGTCACGTTCGGTGTGTGTGTGTGTGTGTGTGTGTGCGTGTGTGTGTGTGTGTGTGTG